AGACTGAAAGTGAAGGGATGGAAAAAGATATTCCATGCAAATGGAAACAAAAAGAAAACTGGGTAGCTATACTCATATCAGACAAAATAGACTTTAAAACAAAGACTGTAACAAAAGACAAAGAAAGACATTGCATAATGATAAAGGGGTAAATCCAAGAAAAGGACATATTCATAAATATTTATGTGCCCAAAATAGGAGCACCTAAATCCATGAAGCTACTATTAACAGATATAAAGGGAGAAAGTGACAGTAATACAATAGTAGCAAGGGACTTTAATACCCCACTTATATCAATGGATAGATCATCCAGACAGAAAATCAATAAGGAAATACTGGTGTTAAATGACACACTAAACCAGATGGACTTAACAGAAGTATACAGAATATTACATCCAAAAACTGCAGAATACACATTCTTTTCAAATGCACATGGAACATTCTCCAGGATGGATCACATCTTAGACCACAAAGCAAGTCTCAATAAATTTAAGAAGATTGAAGTCACACCAAGTGTCTTTTCCAACCACAACAGTATAAACTAGAAATCAATTACTAGAAGAAAACTGGAAAAAATATGAACATGTGGAGACTAAACAACATGCTACCAAATAATCAATGGGTCAATAAAGAAATCAAGAAGAGGAAATCAAAAAATACCTTGAGACAAATGAAAATGGAAACACAACATCCTAAAATCTATGGGATGCAGCAATAGCAGTTCTAAGAGGGAAGTTCATAGCAATACAGGCCTACCTCAAGAAACAAGAAAAATCTCAAATAAACAATCTAACTAAAGGAACTAGAAAAAGAAGAACAAACAAAGCCAAAAGTTAGCAGAAGGAAGAAAATAATAAACATAAGAATAGAAATAGGTGCCAGCCGTGTGGTCGAGTGGTTAAGTTTGTGTGCTCCACTGCAGCAGCCCAGGGTTTTGCTGGTTTGGATCCTGGGCACGGACATGGCACCACTCAACAGGCCATGTTGAGGAGGCACCCCACGTGCCACAAGTAGAAGGACCTGCAACTAAGCTATACAACTATATACCCAGGGGATTTGGGGAGATAAAGCAAAAAAAAAAAAAAAAAACAAACAAAAGATTGGCAACAATTGTTAGCTCAGGTGCCAATCTTTTAAAAAAATAAATAAAAAATAAAAAAGTGTGCATTAATATTTTAAAGAAAAGAATGGAAATAAGCAAAAGAGAGACTAAAAAAAATAGAAAAGGTCAATGAAACTAAAAGCTGGTTCTTAAAAAGATAAACAAAATAGATAAACCATTAGCCAGATTCATCAAGAAAAAAAGACAGAGGGCCCAAGCAAATAAAATCAGAAATAAAAGAGGAGAAGTACAATGGACACTACAGAAATAAAAAGGATCACAAGAGACTACTATGAACAATTATGTGACACTACATTGGAAAACCTATAAGAAATTAATAAATTCCTAGACACACACAAAACTTGCAAGACTGAATCAATGGGAAAATAGAGAATCTGAATAGACTGATTACAAGTAATGAAACTGAATCAGTAATTTAAAAACTCTTAAAAAATAGAAGTCCAGGACAGACAGCTTTACAGGTAAATTCGACGAAACAATTAAAGAATGGTTAATACCTATCCTTCGCAATTTATTCCAAAAAATTAGAGAGAAAGGAACACATCCAAACTCATTTTTCAAGGCCAGCATTACCCTGACATCAAAACCAGACAAAGACACCACAAAGAAATAAAACCATAGGCTGATATGCCTGATGAACATAGACGTAAAAATCCTCAACGAAGTATTAGCAAACCAAATTCAACAATACATTAGAAGGATCATACACCACAATCAAGTACGATTTAATCCAGGGATCCAAGGATGGTTCAATATCTGCAAATCAATCAATGTGATACACCATATTAACAAAATGAAGGATACAAATCACATGATCATCTCAATAGATGCAGAAAAGGCATTTAACAAAATTCAACATTCATTTATCATAAAAACTCTTAACAAAGTGGGTATAAAAGGAACATACCTCAACATAATAAAGGCCATATATGACAAACCCACAGCTAACATCATACACAATGGTGAAAAGCTGAAAGCTTTTCCTCTAAGACCAGGAACAACACAGCGATGCCTACTCTCACCACTTTTATTCAACATAATATTGGAAGTCCTAGCCATAGCATTTAGACAAGAAACAGAAACAAAAGGCATCCAAATAGAAAAGGAAGAAGTAAAAGTGTCACTATTTTCAGATGCCATGACACTATATATAGAAAACCATAAAGACTCCACCAAAAAACTCTTAGAACTAATAAATGAATTCAGTAAAGTTACAGGATATAAAATTAACACACAAAGGTCAGCTGTGTTTCTATACACTAATAACAAGCTATCAGAAAGAGAAATTAAGACATCCCATTTACAATTGCATCAAAGAGAATAAATACTTAGGAATAAATTTAACCAAGGAGGTGAAAGACCTATACTCTGAAAACTAGAAGACACTGATGAAAGAAATTGAAGACAACACAAATAAATGGAAAGATATACCATGCTCATGGATTGAAAGAATTAATACTGTTAAAATGTCCATACTACTGAAAGCAACCTACAATTCAATGCAATCCCCATCAAAATACCAAGGGTATTTTTCACAGAATTAGAACAAAAAAATCCTAAAATTTGTATGCAATGACAAAAGACTCTGAATAGCCAGAGCAATCTTGAAAAAGAAGAACAAAGCTGGAGGTATCAAGCTCCCTGACTTCAAACTATACTACAAAACTATAGTAACCAAAACAGCAAGGTACTGGCACAAAAACAAATACATAGATCGAGGGAACAGAATTGAGAGTGCAGAAATAAAGCCACACTTATGTGGTCAATTAATCTACGACAAAAGAGGCAAGAAAAGTACAATGGGAAATGACAGTCTCTTCAATAAATGGTGTTGCGAAAATTGGACTGCTACATGCAAAAGAATGAAACTGGACCACTTTCTTACACCATATACAAAAATAAACAAAATGGATTAAAGACTCGAATGTAAAACCTGAAACCATTAAACTCATAGAAGAAAACATAGGCAGTCAGCTCTTTGGCATCAGTCTTAGTAATATTTCTTTAGACAGTCTCCTCAGGAGGAGACCATCTTGCTAGATGGTTAGGAAAGACCTACCTGAAGAAAGGACATTTGAACTGAAGCCTGAAGGGTAAGAAAGAGGTGACCTTGAGGCATTCTCAGAGTGGAGCTTTCAAAGCAAAAGAGACTCCTTGTGCAAAGAGCCTGAGGAAGGAACAAGCTTGGAGTGTTTAAGCACAGACAGGATTCCAGTGCGGTTGAATCATAAGATCAAGGGAGAGAGTGAGGGAGGAGGTCAGCAAGGGCCAGGTAATAGGTTCTTGAAGGCCATGGTAAGGATTTTGGATTTCATTCTGGCTACAACGAGAAACTTCTGATTGGGATTTTTAAGCAAGGGAGTGACATAATCTGCACTGCATTCGAGCACAGCTGCTCTGGTTACAACGTGCAGGATGGGCAGTAGGGAAAGAACTCGGGCAGGGAGATTGGTTTGGAAGCCTGGTAGATTCTCCAAAAGGACAAAGCGTCAAGGTAGTTGATGGGGAGGAGGAGGGCAGTTCAGGTGTAGGATTAGGGTCCAAGAGCAGTTTCGGAAAAACGGTAGAAGTCTTGGTGTTGCATCAGAAACATGGATGCTTTTTTTTAACCTCAACAAACATGATCACATGCAGAAGCATCACTCACATCTAGCCCTCCTTGCCTATTTTGGAGGTCCCTGGGGGCAAGAAACTACAGGACTCATTGCATACATTTTTCTCTGCCCACCCCAGCAGCATCTTTCCAGTATCTTTTTAATAGAGTTTGTTTCTTAGAGCAGTTTTACTTTTTAGGTTTTTGGTTTTTAATTTCAGTTCTTTAAATAAACTTTACCTTTTAGAGCAGGGGTTGCGGGGAGGGAGAGATGAATGGGTGGAGCACAGAGGATTTTTAGGGCGGTGAAACTACTCTGTATGGTACTATAGTGGTGGATACATGTCATTATACATTTGTCCAAATCCATAGAATCTATAATACCAGGAATGAGCCTCCTAACACAAACTGTGGCCTTTGGGTGATAATGATGTGTCAATGTGAGTACATCACTCTGATGCGGGATGTTAATAACGGGAGAGGCTCTGCATGTGTGGGGACAGCGAGTATATGGGAAATCTCTGTAAAAAAATTAAAAATAGTAGCACATTATACGCTGTTCTGGACTTTTCCTTTTTACTTCACAAGTCTTGGAGCTCCTTCTATAGCAGTGAATAGAGTTGCCTCGTTATTTTTCAATGGAACTTTAATATAAAGGGTGTTATATAGTTCAGAAATTATATGTAATTTATCTTTGCCAATTCAATAGCAGAGCTGTGACTAGATTCGACTAGTCGACTAGAAAATCCTTAGTTTTCTGGGCTTTAATATTGAATAGTTCAATGCTTTAACATTTTTCTCTCGCCTGTGGCTCTATCTTTATTTCGAAGATTCCCCACTCTGTGCCGCCAAGCCCAGTCTGAGATTTGACACTTCTCTAGCTTAGTCATCTGATCTCACTTTTGATGAGTCAAACGTAATAAACCCAGTTGATGTGGCTCAGATGTCTCTTAAGGACAAAGATTAAAACAGGAAATAAAAGAAAATATGTAGGACAGAGGGCTGAGGGTTTGTTGAATGTTTGAGATTTGAATATGTGTCTTAATTCTTCATCAGTTTCAGCTGGATTCATTTCTCCCAGCTTTGCACTTGGAGACTAGGATAAATGCAATCTTAGCTCACATTATCAGATGATTGCATGTCTCTGGACTGTTCTAGGAAGCCATAGTCTCTTAGATCATCATAGTTCACAAGGACAGTGCACTCACTCAGGTATTTTTAAAACACTGTTTCTGATTCTCTCTTTTTCTCTTGAGGTAAGCGAGGCAGACACATTTGCCAAGGATAACTGAGAATGTAAGGGCAGCGCTTGACTCTGCAGCTTGAGCAGGCTGTGTGCTAAGTGCAACTCCCAAACATACCCTATAAATAGCCGTTCATTGTCAGCGTGTGTGAAAAGACAAGAGTGAGTGTGTGGTGCTGTGATTCAGGCCTAATTAAGAAGTTGCGTCTGCGCAGGGCTATAAGCGACTAGCTGCTCCAACTGATAATCTAGTCAGGAGACAACTGCGAGGGTTTCGCCACGGGCTGGACATAGACCGAAGGGGAGCTGTTCGATGCTGTTTCTGCCTCCAGTATGGCAAAAATCATCCTGAGGCACCTCATAGAGACTCCAGTGCGTTACGAGGAGGAGTTTCAAGCTCGCGGTTTGGAAGACTGCAGGCTGGATCACGCCTTATATGCGCTGCCCGGGCCAACCACCGTGGACCTGGGAAAAGCCCGGGCAGCCCAGCCTCCTCCAGCGGACTCAGCGGCAGAGATACCGCCTCAAGCAGGCAAATCCCGCTTCCAGATCCTGCTGGACGTGGTCCAGTTCCTCCCCGAAGATATCATCATTCAGACCTTTGAAGGCTGGCTGCTGATTAAGGCTCAACATGGAAACAGAATGGACGAGCATGGTTTTATCTCAAGAAGCTTCACCCGACAGTATAAACTGCCAGATGGCATTGAAACCAAAGATTTGTCCGCGATCCTCTGTCACGACGGAATTCTGGTGGTGGAAGTAAAGGATCCAGTTGAGACCAAGTGAAATCTTACTGGTTCCCTATCGTACTACCAGGAGGAAGACTACGGTTCAGCCGATGAAGGGTACCATGGGCATGTTTGTATTACCCACGTTTGAAATGATTTTTATGAAGATTAAAAATATAGACATAGTTCCTGGTATGTTGAGGGTGTCTTTGTTATTCTTATTCAGCAAGGAAAATCGTTCAAAATGTTCCTACAGCTCAAAGTGACGCTAGACTTACATCTGAAACTGACAATTTCGGAGACTAGGTTGATAGCAGAGAGGACTCAGAATGATTTCTTCATTACCCCAGCAACGCCAGCGAAGTACATTGGTAACAATTGGTGGCAAAAGAGCCATACTAATTTAAGAAATTCTTATCCATTTTATGAAAACTTTTTATATCGCTGAAAGAAAGTTGTGATCCCCTTGCCTTGATACGCTTTTCTTTTCAGTGTATTTTAATTAAAGCGGAGCTTTGTAAATCCAGAGTCTGAAGGTGAAAATACAGTACTTGGAAATTGAGTCTGAAATCTATTTACGAGTCACTACAGTTGTTGCTGCCTCAAACTTATGTTGGAATTTGCAGATAGAAAGCTTATTTTTGAAAAGTTCCAAATACGTACCTCATTCTTTTGTTGTTGTGGTTGTTTTTAGTTAAACTGAATGTTATCTGCAGTGATTTTAAAAAACAGTATATGTTGTGTGGATAATTATGAAATAATAAGATGCATTGTCATACTCGTAAGTTAATATTAAGTTTAGGAAACCACTTTCAAAAGTGCAATTACTGACTTCAAAGAGTTTTAATCTATGCTCTTTAGATGCTCCTTCAAATTGTAGATTTCAGAAGATGGCAAAACGTAAGGCAGCTGCTCTCCCTGCATAATCCTTTGCTTTAAATAGCCTGGCAGCGCGGCGGTTCCGGGCCTGAGCTCACACCGGCGGCTGAGCTGATGCTGCGCGGGGGAGCGCGCCTGCTGCTCTCCCCACTTGCTGCTTCCGCCCAACGCAACAGCTGAGACGCTGGGAGAGGCGAAGGATTTCCTTTAGGAACATTGCCGTCAACAGCTGGGCTGCGACATGCCGACATGCCGAAGATTTGCTATCTCATTCTGTACATACTAAATCCTTCTTGGGGTGGGGGAGGGGAGTAGCTCCTTTAACCCCGCCCCCCACGTGAGCCTGAGGACAGAGCTATGAATAGAAGAGGCAGGCGGGGTGTGGAAAACGTCAGGGCAGACGCAGACCCTTCACCAGACCGCTGTGCTCCTCCCTGGCGCTTTATTCGTAGTTAAGTGCAAACAAGAGAGATGTAAGCAACAGAAAAAGAAATTGAGCAGTTCTAACAGAGGTTTTGAAAACAAATGTAATCTGAAAGAGATGATTGTTTACAGTCTAATTAAATTGAAAGGATTTTGAAACTATATGTTTATACGAGGTTATTGTCTATACACCGAGGTTCGGGCGTCCAGCTCTAGGATAAGAAGTTTTGTTTGAACTAGAAACAGAGATTGGATTGGTGGTTACCAGAGGGGAAGGGGGGCGGGTGGAGGGAGAAAGGGGTAACTGAGTACATGTGTGTAGTAATGGATGGTACGTAATTAGTCTTTGGGTGAACACAGAAATCGAAATATAATGTACACCTGAAATTTATATAATGTCATTGTAGGGGAGGAAGACATTTCCTCTTCCCAAATGTGGGTTCGTCTGGCGGGAGAATGAATTAAATTCACATGAGACAGAATAGCAAGAGAAAATTAAACAAAGCTTTATGAGGAACCATGGCCCGGGCCCTCTCTTCCCGAAGGAAGAAAGGGCACCGAAGAATTGGGGTGCACATAGTGGTTATATACCCCCAAACAGGGTGTTTCACATGTGATTGAAATGTCCCTCCCACAATAGTCACAAGATTGCCCTGTCGGCACAGCGCTTGATGGACACAGCAGGTAGTGGTCTGCTATCTCTGTGGGCGTAGCAGGAGGCAAGTCAATTGTCTGGAGCTGGTCGGTCACAGGTGAGCGCAGCAGCAATCAGTTCCTAGCCTAAGGAAAGATGCTTAATCCTTAAAGAAATGCCAACGTTGGGAGGGGGAGGGAAGTCAGTTACAGGAGGTTACCAGAGAAGCACAATAAAATGCAGATTTAAGTCCTTGCCTTTGGTATTGATTAAGAGTTTTTAGAGACAATGTCATCTCCTTTCTTCTTCCTGGTACAGAGAGGGAGGCACCTTTTACAGACAGAGATTTACCTTACAAATGTAAAGGTGTCTTAACAAAGGGCAAGTTCCATTCCTCAGAGCCTCCTTCCCTGTCCCAGTTTATCAAGAGCAATCAGCCTCAAATAATCCTGATGCCAAAGAGACATATCTTGGGGTGGCCAATTCTAGGTCCCCACATCATAAACCAACCAGTGTTACTTCAATTAAAAAAAAAGAAATTCTGTTTGACAAAGTGAATATCGCAGACCAGCTTCACTTCATAACAGTTAATAGTAATGAAGGGGACGACATCTAATACGGTTAGAACTGGGATACGTTTGTCCCACATTATTCTTTCCCCTTGATTGGCAGAATAAGGAGAAAATTAGTGCTTTGCAAAACAAACAAAAAAACCCTCTTATTTGGCCTTGATCTTATCTAGATGAGATCCTGCTTCTGAGAAAGTTCCAGAAGTGAAATTCTTACTACAAGGAGCCACTGAGAGGAAATAGTTCCTTTAAAAATGAAAATTAAACACATCATCGAAATGATGCGGGGTCGGTGAGCCAAGGAGTCGAAAGAAAGATTTCTTAGACTCTTAAGATCTGGCAGTAGTGCTCTTTTATTTAGAGAATAGTATAGAATAGCATGGGGACAGGCCCCATGGGCAGTCAGAGCTCCTGCTGCTGCCCCTGCTGGCATGGGGACAGGACCCATGGGCAGGCAGAGCTGGTGCGTGGGAACAGGACCCAGGGGTAGTCAGAGCTCCTGCTGCTGCAAACATGAGTGGAGAGTAAGGCTAAATTTAAGGCATAGGTATGTGAGTCATCTCTTTACCAAGACAAAGGAAAGAACATGAAAAAAAGTTAAAGCGGTATCAGTGCAGGTGGGGTCTGGTCGTTGGGTGATCCCATGACTTTTAGATAAGAATCAAATCGGATTAAGTAAAGGTCAGAAGCCATCACCCTAAATCAGTTACATGAGATTGCCAGACAGCAACCAACTTAAGTTCTTGCTTTCCCCATTAAGAGTTTCTAGAGACAGGTCATCTCTCCTCTTCTTCCTGGTACAGAGAGGGAGGCACGTTTTACAGGTAGAGATTTACCTTACAAATGTAAATGTGTCCCAACAAGGGCAAGTTCCATTCCCCAGAGCCTCCTTCCCTGTCCCAGTTTATCGAAAGCAATCAGCCCAAAACAATCCCGATGCCAAAGAGACATGTCCTGGGGCGGCCAATTTCAGGTCCCTACAAGGTCATCCCCCCTTCCTTCACAAGTGCAAATATCTCTCAAAGAGCAAGCAAATTCCAGTCCTCAGAGCCTGCTTCTCATCTGCAGTTTTTTAAAATTAACCAGCCTAAAATCCTCATCACAATCAGCATGTATTTTTTCTAAGATAAATTTTAAAGTAATACAGAGCCATTTCTTGATTTGGAAAATATATGAAACACTAAAAAAAGGAAAACCATTTGTTATTCCTCTACTACCATGAGATAGCTACTTTAAATTTCTAGTTCAGTCTTCCTTTTTTTTTTTTTTTTTGAGGAAGATTAGCCCTGAGCTAACATCTGCTGCCAATCCTCCTCTTTTTGCTGAGGAAGACTGGCCCTGAGCTAACATCCGTGCCCATCTTCCTCCACTTTACATGTGGGATGCCTACCACAGCATGGCGTGCCAAGCGGCGCCATGTCTGCACCCCGGATCCGAACCAGTGAACCCTGGGCTGCCAAAGCAGAACGTGCGCACTTAACTGCTGCACCACCAGGCCAGCCCCTAGTTCAGTCTTATACGTAAATACATGCATCACTTTTCACAAAATTAGGATTATATGTGCATCAGTTTGATATTCCTGTCGTACTGGTTATTTTCCATTGCTCTCCTCAACTCCTGCCAACTCAGACCCACCTCTGCCTTCTCAGCCCCACTCTGAGTGGCAGCAGGCTGACCCCTATGAGCTTCTCATTCTAGTTTCCAATTGGGTTCAGCCAACTGCAGGCACCGACTGCAGACCAGAGACTGGAGAGAGGATTGGTGGAGAGGCGAGGAGAAATGTCAGAGAGTTTCCTTCCCCAGTGCCAACCTGCTGCAGAGGAAGCTCTGGCAGGGCCTGGGTCCCTTGGTGACTGGCCCCCTGGAGAGATGGCCGCTCCTCCAGGACTTCCACTCGTCCTGGGCTCCAGCATTGTAATGCTATTTCTTCCTTTTGCTCGGTCAGCAGTTGGGGTGATATTGATGAGGATTTTAGGCTGGTTACTTTCAAAACCACAGATGAGAAGCAGGCTCCGAGGACTGGAGTTTTGCTTGCCCTTTTGAGAGACATTTGCACTTGTGAAGGAAGAGGGGATGACCTTGTAGGCACCTGAAATTGGTCACCCCAGGATATGTCTCTTTGGCATCGGGATTGTTTTGGGCTGATTGCTTTCGATAAACTGGGACAGGGAAGGAGGCTCTGGGGAATGGAACTTGCCCTTGTTGGGACACATTTACATTTGTAAGGTAAATCTCTACCTGTAAAACGTGCCTCCCTCTCTGTACCAGGAAGAAGAGGAGAGATGACCTTGTCCCTAGAAACTCTTAATGGGGAAAGCAAGAACTTAAGTTGGTTGCTGTCTGGCAATCTCATGTAACTGGTTTAGGGTGGTGGCGTCTAACCTTTCTAACCTTTACTTAATCTGATTTGATTCTTGTCTAAAAGTCATGGGATCACCCAATGACCAGACCCCACCTGCACTGATACCATTTTAACTTTTTTTCATGTTCTTTCCTTTGTCTTGGTAAAGAGATGACTCACATACCTATGCCTTAAATTTAGCCCTAACCCTCAACTCGGGGCAGCAGCAGGAGCTCTGACTGCCCATGGGTCCTGTCCCCATGCTACACTATTCTCTAAATAAAAGAGCACTACTGCCAGATCTTAAGAGTCTAAGAAATCTTTCTTTCGACTCCTCGGCTCACCGACCC